GGGGTGGTTGGGGGGGGGGGGGGCTGCTCCCACCCACCCCACCTGGCCAAGTTCACACAAACGTGCTTGCAGCTTGTCCAAAGAAAGATCTGGGTGCGTAAATCGGAGTCCAAAATTGGTTTTAGAAAACCCTCACTCAGCTGCTGAGAAATCCCGGTGGTTTCTAAGTTTCGGTTGCGCCTTCGGTTTTGCCTTTGCAGCTCCCCAGGCCTTTGCATCTGCCCAGAAATGCCCCGTCAGGGCTGTCTCGCCCCACCAGCCCTAAACTGGGATCGGCCGGAGCAGCTTCTCTGCCCAGAGCCCTGAACTGCCGGGAGACCTCGGGGCAGGGACCTTTTCCCTGACCTCCCTAAAAAAAACCCCGCAGTTACACCACCGGTCCTCCCGTGCAGAGCTGATGGGGAGCACCCCCCCTGTTCTGCACTGCACACCTCTCCCCCACACCTTCCCCAAAAAAAAGCCTTTTCCAAACGCTGGGACCTGGGTCCTCAGCGCAATCCCTGACCTCCGCTGCAGAAGCAGCCGCAGGAGAAGCCGAGCACCTCATCCACGAGGAGGGCAGCAGTCAGGGAGAGCCCAGCACCCTTTTTCTTCTACAGACAGCCAGGTCTTTAAGGAAACCCCGTTAATAAACCTCACTTGGCAGCCGGAGAGGCAGGTGCTCCGCTTCCCAGGGCACTCACCTTGTGCCAGCCGGGAATTTTCTCTCTGCAGCCACGGACTTCCAGGGTCTCAGCGCCAGAAGGGACGTTTGCTCAGGGGCTGCGGCGCCTGTCCTCCCCTGCCTTGTGCTCCCACCAGCCGCTCCTCTAAGGTCCTTTGTAGAGGCAAGCCCAGCGAATTTCCCAAAGGGATTCTCTCCCAAAGCCAGCTCTCACAGAAGGTAGGTTTAATCCAAGTCCTGGCTCTTTCTCAGCTAGGGAGCCCTCCAAAAAGCCCGTCTCCTTCCACGTGCTCAGAGCCACCACCTCTGCCAGGGCGATGGTCCTGCTCTGCAGCAAAGGGGACCTCTGGGTGTTCACGCAGCCCCACAGCTGCCTCACCTCCCCGCTTCGCAGCACGGAGCGAAGGGGACGGCAGCCTCCATCCCTCTCCTCTGTGGCCAACCTCCAGCCTGGAGCCAGCATGAATGACAGAGGCGGTCACAGAAACCAGAATCATAGAATCATAGAATCATAGAATCATAGAATCATAGAATCATAGAATCATAGAATCATAGAATCATAGAATCATAGAATCATAGAATCATAGAATCATAGAATCATAGAATCATAGAATCATAGAATCATAGAATCATAGAATCATAGAATCATAGAATCATAGAATCATAGAATCATAGAATCATAGAATCATAGAATCATAGAATCACAGAATCATAGAACCCTTTCGGTGAAGAAGTTTTTCCTAATGTCCAACCTAAACCTGCCCTGGCGCAGCTTCAGACCATTCCCCCTCGTCCCATCGCCCATTACCAGGGAGAAGAGGACAACCCCCACCTCGCTACAGCGCCCCCCTCCTGTCAGGCAGTTGTAGAGGGCGATAAGGGCTCCCCTCAGCCTCCTCTTCTCCAGGCTGAACACCCCCAGACTTGGGAAAGGAGCAGCCTGAGCAATTATTTGCTTAAAGGCAAAGCCGCGTTGCTCTTTGTTCCGCGCGATGGCCCAGCGCGGCTGCGCGAGAGCCGGGCGCTCGGCATCGGCAGGCCACGTGCTCTGCGTTGCAGCAGGGGGTGACAGCCGGGTCTTGGGAGTAATCTGCAAGCGAGACGTTGTCTGTTGCGATGTCCTCCAGAGCTTGGGCGTACGCCCTGCTGATTGCAGGTAGCACTGCCTGATACTCCCTGGATGCCACGTCCAAAGGCTCCTGCTCCTGGATATCGCGATCCAGATTGAAAATGAGGGGTGGCTGGTGATGCTCAGCTGGCCCAATGCTCCCATCGCAAGCCATCGCTCCTCCTAGGGAGGAAACGAGAGAAAAACACTGGAGTCCCAGGCTGCCCAGGGATCACTTCTGTATTCCTCACCCATCTGCCATGGCCCAGTCCCAGCACATCCCAGCTTTGGGAGCCCGGGTCCTGCCACTAGTCCCGAGAGTGCTTCTGTGGCCAACAGCCCCAGGCTGCAAAGCCCATCGCACAGCGGGGCACGTGCTTATCCTCGCTAGGCTTGCTCTTGCTTGAATTCACCTGAGTTGGTTTTTACCCGTATCGGCAGGGAACCAAGAATTCCAAAAGTTTTTTCCCCGGACTTTCTGATCTCTGAAAGGGACACAAGTACCTGTGGTGTAAAACGCCTTGTACTGAGCCAGCCGTAGCGCCGCTATCTCGCCGTCCTTCCCAGCTGCCCCACTGTTGGGGTGGAGCAGAACCTGAAGGAAGAACCGAGACGTTCCCATCAGCCCGTTGCAAGGAAAACCCACTCTGCGAGACCCATGCATGCATTCAGAGACACCATTTAGCCCCTGGACTCTGAGCAAGCAACCAAGTTTTGCTTGCTGAAGGGTGGGCTGACAGCAAAAGGGCACCGGGAAACACCAGCATCTCTCTGGTCCCTTCCTGGCCCCTGCACGCACGACCCCTGAGTTTCCCTCCCCAGACCAGTTCTGCTGCAGGAGAAGGATCACGAAGGTGCGAGGGCTTTCAGCAGGGCAGGGTATTTCGGAGCGGGGACGGTCTCAGGTGCTCTATGTCACCCACCGCCGCCCCGTGCCAACGCGGCACCCACCTCCCTCGGTGCTCCCAGCCCAGCGAGTGGCAGGGACCCCCAAGGGAGCCGAATCGTTGCCGGGGGCCAGCGGCCGAGGGTGAGCTCATGCGGAGCAGAGGCTGCACGGGGAGGTGAGGTGCTGGAACATCACCCCCCGGTCCGTCCCCGCCGCTGACTCACCCCGCCGTGCGAGCGCTCCCTTCCCTAACAACAGCCGTCCCGGCACAGGGCACGGGGGGATGCGTAGGAACGGAAGGAGGGAAGGGCGGGTCGAATCTCTCCCTTTCGCTATTTAGGACACTTGATCCACGCAGGACGACTGCTTTGGCACACGGGAGGGAGAAGACAAGTGAGCTGGACGGGTCAGCGGGCTCGTCTGTCAGATAATATCTGCCGGCGGAGCCAATGGCTTCACTGCGGGATGAGTCACTCGAGGTTTCCTCCCTGGGAACGGAGCTTAAAAGTGATTCAAGAAATTTCCACTGTGCTAAAAATTAGAAACATCTGCCGAAGTTGTAGGCAGCTGCGGTGCCAAGTTTAGTAACAGCGTTCGCAGCTGATCGGCGCGGTAATGCCTTAGCAGGTGCCCGGGGCTATCGCTCCCACCCTGCCCGAGGCTCATCCCAGAAATGCCAGGATTTAGGGCAGGGGGTGACTTCCAAATGCTCTCGGTTTCCTTTATTGCCCGCCATTGCAAGGCAAATTTTAAAAAAAAAAAAAAAAAAAAATTCACCTTCTGGGATTTGGTTTAAAAATCACGGTTTAGGGATAAAAAAAATTAAGGGTGTAAAGTGGAAGAGGCGGTGCAGTGTAAGCCTGCTGCGAGGAGGAAACCCTGCTAGAGAGTGCCCTTACGCTGGCGCCCCTTGGTCAGAATAAAACAGCTCCCAAGGAGAAATCAGCAAATATTCAAGGGCCCGTGAAGCCAAGGTACCGGGAACTGAATCAATTTTCTGCGATGAGGAAAGGCTGAGGGAGCTGGGCTTGTTCAGCCTGGAGAAGAGAAGGCTGAGAGGGGACCTCATCACCACGTACAAATATCTCAAGGGTGGGGGTCACGAGGATGGAGCCAGACTCTTCTCAGTGGTGCCCAGTGACAGGACAAGGGGCAATGGGCACAAACTGAAGCAGAAGAGGTTCCAGTTGAATATGAGGAAGAACTTCTGGACTTCGAGGGTTCCTGAGCCCTGGCCCAGGCTGCCCAGGGGGGCTGTGGAGTCCCCGTCTCTGGAGATATTCACCCCCCGCCTGGCCGCTGTCCTGTGCCCCCTGCTCTGGGTGAGCCTGCTTGAGCAGGGGGGTGG